TTTGCAGCAAAACAGTAAATTAAGATCCTTAAGAACTAAACCCAACCTGTGACTACAGAAGCCACAAAGTAAAGATTCTACAGCTTTTTTCCTAGAGAAAAACAAATTTTCTCCAAAACACATTCAGTATTAACTATAGCACTCACTTGAGAAGCCCCAGTACGAGCTCACTGCTACATTTATGTTCTTCAGTAAGCTACAAATGTCAAGCACCAAGTCTTCAATAATGAATGTGGATATGCCTGTAATCTATGGTATCAGCTCACGCACAGGTCATTAAAGTTGTTTAAAAGGCTGCTATGAAAGGACACACTGACAAAGGAGACTAATCAGAACTGACTTTGACAAGCACTGTGGCAACTGGACAATTAAAACAGACATTTGGATGGTGGGGGAAGAAGAACAAACTGGGGAGGAGGGTAGAGAGAATGGTGCAGCAATGAAGGAATGAAAACCCAAAATCCCTGTAAATGTTCATTAAAACTAATAAAATTTAATAATAATAATTTAAAAAACAAAAAAAGGCTGCTATGAACTGTGTTGGACAACTTGCTAACATATTATTCTAGGATAGATTGCCCTGCCCAACATTTATCTTTACAGTAATCTGAAATAACACATAGCTTGAAGAAATAGGCAGCTTAAAAAAAAAAGCCAATATACCCAATTTTCAAAAACCTACAACTTCAGTGGAATGTTTCTTATTGTACAATGGAAGAATTTTTACAAATAATGCCCATTTAATTTTGGAGTTAAGGAGTAAAAATTCTAGAGTCTGTTAAAAGTTGCTGAACTGAACCAATGTGTCTGTGTGTACATACACACGCTTACATGTTATGACATCTACTTGGCAGTAACAATGAAAGAGATTACTACCACTCTGTTAATTTAATGAGAATCCAAAATCTATTATCTATTAATATATGAAAAATATTATGTAGTGATTTTAACAGTATATAAGTATTAACATTAAAATATGATTTCAAATAGATGAACAAACTGTTTTAGTTCTCCCAAATATTCTTTTGTCACAAGGGTACTTGAATCATTTTTTATCATAACATTTTTGAACATGTAGAGTTTAAGAGTTTCAGTTTCTTTCATTTCACAAATGCAATAAAATTTAGAGAAATCAGAACCACAAGGGAGTGATACCTAATTACAGCAATGAATTATGACCTCATGCCTACTGTGTAACATGAGAACAACAGAATACAAACTCACTGCCTCTGGGGAGGCTCTGACTTGTGACGACCCTCCACTGGGTCTCTGAGGCTATAAATCTTAATGAGATGGCTCATCTTTCTCCTGTGAAGTGCCTGGTGCAGTCAAACTGCTAGAGTTGCTTGGTCTTTTGGTTATGGTACAGAATATGCTACAAGAGATCCATAAACAGCACAGATTGCATTTATGAAACCATGAGCATCTGGAAGGGAAAATTACTCAAAACTCAAGATGTGGCATAAAAGCTAGAAAGATTCACTTTTCCAGACACCATTACTTTTAAGGGCATACTCAATTCTCTTGGGTTTTTACTGATTATTATTTTGTCCAGGATAAGACAGTTACTGTCCTAAATATTAAAAGTAAACAGCAATGCAGAAAAGTGTATTATTTTCTGGGTTAAATCTGATAAGGACTTTGAGAAAGCAATGTAATAAAGCTGATGATTTCCTTTTATCTGAGAGGAAAACACATTAAAATTAATACTAGGTGTATTGATTGAGAATTAGTGGTATAACTGACACTTGTAAAATATCTTTAATAAGGTCATTATTATAAAAAGGCAATATATTTCCAGTATTTTGACAGTAAGTCAAATCAAAATAACATACATTAAGTTTTGTGATCATTATCTTTTATCAATTCTTACCATTCATAGCTTTTGAAAAAATTGCTACATTCTCAAATTTAAAAAACTCCATAAAGTGCTCAAGCACAGTAAGTTATGAAAAGATGTTGTAAGCAAAGTGGTTACAGAGGACATTTGGAACTACTGCCCACTTAGATCTGGCCCACACAAATGCAGCCTCAGAAATCTAGGGCAGCTGTGAGAATACAGAACACTCTTTAAAGGTAAAAGCACCACTGGACAAAGAAGAACCCTCTTCACTTCCAGTTCCATTATCCAGTGTTTACAGAAAAAGACTACATGGTTTACAATACAGTGATCAAATCTGCACTCAGGAAGTCTTGTGGACTTTTTGGCAAATAATTTTAATCTACAAGAAGATTATAAATTACTGTATGTACTGGCAATGCCACTAACTTTTGCTAAGCTAAAAGTAAACATATTTCTTACTAATTTAAATTGGAGTAGTTGAGCAAGAATGCCGACTGAGAGGGGCAAGGAAGTCTAACACTTTAGCCTTTGGAGAATCAAGTAGATTAAAAGGATCCAGGTTACATGATGCAAAGAGTAAAGGCTTATCTTATTTATACAGAATTCAATGAAGAAAGAAATTTTTTTGTATCTTCTAAAGTCCAATGGAGGTTTCAAAGTCATTAGAATTGTCAAATTTCCTTTAGTGAAGTAAATACAAATTTGGAAAATCCTTGCAAACTTTCAGGGTATGTCTGGTGCAATTTTACTGCTCTATCAGTAACAAATGGAAACTATACTATATAATGAGATAGGATATAATGAGAAAAATTTTGGAATGGTCAAAATATGGCACATCTGTATAATATAAACTCAAATAAGCCACTTCTGCTCCTCCTACTTAAAGAAACATAGTAATAGCATTAATTTTAAAAAGTTTGTTACAGAACTGTCTTAACACAGTAGTCATCATCCCTATGTGGCTACATCCACACTTGAGCACTTGAAATGTGGTTACTCTTACCCTAGGTGTTTGTATAACATGTGTCAAATAAAAAAATTTAAATGTTTTCTTAATGTTTTATAATGATTACATGTTCATATAACACATTGGACACATTAGACTGAATAAATTATATTATTAAAACAAATTTTTGTTTATATTTTTTAATATGCCTGCCCGGAATCATTAACATTACACTTGGCTTGCATTCTTTTTCTACTGGAGAGCACTAGTTTTGGTGGGTTTTTTTAAGAACTAGTTTTGAGCTTTTATGTTACCTATTTATAATGCCACGCTCAATCCTGGGAAGCTTTCATTGTAATTCTGTATTCTTACTTATACCAATAATTCTAGAATATATATAAAAAAAGGTAGGAGCAACAGGGCTGTTCACATACATTTGCAGATAATTTCATTTTCAAAGACAAATGTCTAAATCATAGTCCCAAACTAACCAAACAGTAACGGTCAAATTAATTTAAAATTAAATGCTTTGACTATTCATATTTCTTTCTGCATTAAAGTCTGCCCCAAATCAATAAGCTTCAAACACTTATACCACAGATATAAACCTTAAAGTTGGTATCATTCAAAAAGAAGACTTTTATTTGCACAAGTGCCCACATAAAAAACTTAATCTAAATCAATGGCATTCTGAAATATTTAGCTGCCAAAATGGAAACAAAGTGTGAAGCCACTGTTGGTTTTTAAATTGGCCAGTGACTAACATTAAATTCAAAGTTGCAAATTCTAAACAATTACATGTTTTCTCTAAACACAGACTTCTATTATCCATGTGTTTAAGAAAACCTGAAATTTAAGTACTTGAGCACACTTTTTTTAAAAGTACTTGGGGAAATGTGTAGCGAAAATTTTTCTCAATTGAGCACTCCTGACTAAAATTATGGCCTGTAAACACACAGTAATGCGAACCTTTTTAAACTCTTTATACAGATAAAGAGTAAGTAATGTGAAATACCTCACTAGTAACCAAAATTGCAGTAAATATTTGAAACATTTTTATTAAAAAAACCAAACAAAAAACAAAACAAACATAGCATTTTCCCAAGGCAACTAGACTTAGAAATTTTAGAATAGTAATTAACCAGAATGTACGAAACACTGATCTTTTCATAATTTTGCAAAACTGCCTTTGACTTTCATAATGTTTCACATTAACTCATCTAATCCCACCATCTTTTTAAAATACATACGAATCTTTTAATGTGGCAAATAACAGAATAAAGTCTCCATTTTTGAGGGTTCAAACCTAATAAAAAGGAACAACCAAGTCTGAGCCTGAGAGAAATTTGGTATGTTGTATATTATCGAGTTTTAACCAACCCAGAGCTGACCCTCCAGGTTTTCAGGCCACCGCATGGGAAGAAAATACCCATGTTTCTCCCTTAGAGAAGCTGGTGGACTCAAACTGCATGCCTTTATATTGGCAGCACACCTCCTTACCATTAGAACACCAGACTCTACGGACACAGTAAGGTCCTATTAGATTAGTCCCAGGGCCAAATAAATTCTCAAGCAATTAAGTCTCCAAATTATAAGAATGAAACATTTTTAAATGCAATGATTGTAAATAATGGGGCACAGAAAGTGTAGCATCATCAAATATGTGAATTTACTATAATCTTTTTTTTTTTTAAAAAGGTAAAATGTAATGATTTAACTAAATTATAATATTTGAGAAAGGTAAGCACATCTGGTTACGTGAACATGCTTCTTGGGAAATATGTTAGAAAAACTCTAATTATGAATAATTAACATTGTCTCATTTCTAAAATCACATGAAAAATTCTACTTTGCTTTTCAGTAATTCTGATACTGGGCATATATTACTGTCCTTTCACTAATAAATACACACAGGAAATGGACTTAAATACACAGAATCAATTTTTTTCATAAGCTAAATAAACTTCTGAGATGTGAAGATTTTGTTTGAGCATACAGTACTGCAATGGTGGCTACATAAAATAGAAAACTTTGAGAGGAAGCTCAATAATCAGAGGCTGTATTGCATTTAAAGATTTAACACTGGCTATATACAGAAGGGAAAGCACTTCAATTAAAAATACTTCACATGTTCCCAAGAGTGCTCTTTCACTATGGCAACTCTTAGCAGCGTACTATTTTGATATTGAAAAATCAACAGGAAAATTAGTACTCTTATCCTTTGGTTCTGAGTGACAATGTATTAATAATGCTTCTGGTTTTCACTTCCTCTTGGATGACAGTAGCAGAAAAAAATCTGATGTTTAGCTGAAATTTGGCAGTCCAAGAAGTGCACCAACTGCTCCAAAGTATCCCTGTATGATTAAAAAAAATAAGTTAACATACTGTAGTTACTAATATAGCATACAATATTAACTCTTAAAAACATTATTTGTTCAGGAACTGGGAAATGAATTAAAATATTAAAAATAAAATTTCATTCTCAATAATGTATATACATACAACTTTGAAAGAAGCATTTCAAGTGAGGTTTTTTTTTTAGACACCAAAGCTTTTGGGGCTATTATAGGACTTTTGATTCCTTCTTTACTCAATAAACTGTCTTCTTGGGCTCTGACTGCAACATTCACAGCACATCATGAGCACACCATTGTGATTTGTACAGTATCAGCAGTGACAATGACACACATGGACTGCTAGGAAAACAGATTTGTCCTGGAAAGGGTTAAACTGGGTGGCTCCTTGGAGGCAAGGATTCTGAGGCTCCGTCTAACTTACTTTG